ATCAGCTGCCTCCTGCACACCCCCTATTGGGGATGTGCCCGCAACCAAGGTACATGCCCGTGACCCGAATTGAACCTGGGACCCTTCAATCCGCAGGCCGACGCTCTATCCACTGAGCCAAACCGGCTAGGGCAACTTTATTTTTAATGTATACTTTTTTTTATATTGCTTTGAGTTTTGAACTGTGTGTCCTATGTGTATGTAAAATATAAAATAAAATATTGTAGTAAGAGAGATTAAGTCAAGATAGGAAGAGAGCAAACAGAGGATTGTTAACTCCCAAAAAGTGCAACCATTCAACTTGGCATAGTTGTCAGTAAGCATAGCTCTAGCCCAGCGGTTCTCAACCTGTGGGTCGTGACCCCTTTGGCAGTCGAATGACCCTTTCACAAGGGTCGCCTAAGACCATCCTGCAGATCAGATATTTACATTACGATTCATAACAGTAGCAACATTACAGTTATGAAGTAGCAACGAAAATAATTTTATGGTTGGGTCACAACATGAGGAACTGTATTTAAAGGGCCAGAAGGTTGAGAACCACTGCTCTAGCCTCTTTCATCTGAAGATCAGCACACTGGATCTTCAGACATGCTTAAAGAGTTTAAAAAATAGTTAAATCATGAGAGAGAGAGAGGGAGAGAGAGAGAGAGAGAGAGAGAGAGAGAGGGAGAACGAGAACCAATGCACTAACTTCACAGTAGAATTCACTTCTGACTTACACAATCAATGTTTTTGCATCAACAAAATGGCAAGGGGGTAGCTGAGTGGGGACTTCTAAAAATTTTTTCTTTAAAATGAAAATTCTTTTTTGATTATCTGTTATATTGGTAGAGTTTGTTCACTCTGCAAAATCAGTTGATAGCACATAGGGAAGGTTGAAGGCTAAACATGGATTAAAAACCTTTTTTTATTAGTTTAAATTATTTTAAATCTTACATCTTTGTGATTTGAAACTTCAGTGTACAAGGGATTAAAAAGGCATATAATCCTATACTTAGGGAGGCTGTGTGGAAGAGGCTAACATTAGCCTGTTGTCCTCCCTTCATGTACTACAGCCCCCACCAGTTACCGTTGATCTCCTCTAATTAACGTCAACAACTGAAAATAGACTAAATCCCCAAGTGGACATGGTCCTTCTCTGATATATGGGACTGGAGACCCTCATACGAAGTTGTTAATGAGGTTGCTTGGCCATTGCCCCATTATTGCAAATGCTAGGTATCAAACAGTGCCCAAATCTCAAAATCTGTGTTTATTTTTTTAAAATATATTTGATTGAATTTTTACAGAGAGAAAAGGAGAGGGATAGAGAGTTAGAAACATCGATGAGAGAGAAACATCGATCAGCTGCCTCCTGCATGCTCCCTACTGGGGATGGGCCCGCAACCAAGGTACATGCCCTTGACCGGAATCGAACCTGGGACCCTTGAGTCCACAGGCCGACACTCTATCCATGAGCCAAACCGGTTAGGGCAAAAACTGTGTTTATTTTTTATAATCACAATTACAGAACCTCTAGCAACATCAAGGGTTCTGCAAAACCCCAGTTGAGAAATCTTGGTTTGGAGAGTTTTCAGAAACAAATTTGAGCTAAGACCTGGGTAGCATGTTAAAGAATAGGATAAATGGAAAGAAAAGTAACCAGGTTATAAAAACTGATTCTTACAAACTAATGTACATGGTTGTTTTTGATATCTATTTTAAATATGAATTATGCTTTTCAATCATATATTATATTCGATTGTTGACTTAATAACTATGAGGGAGAATTTGTGATATAGTCTCTAAAATTTTTGTGTTTACCATTTTGATATTAGGGCTGCTCTTGAAGAAAATCCTTATTTCCGTTTGAAGAAAGTAGTGAAATGGTATTTGTCAGGATTCTATAAAAAGCCAAAGGTAATGTTTATATTTTACCTTTTTCAGCCTTATGTGAGTTCTTTATTTTTTTGTTATCTTTAGATTATTTATTAATAATTACATTGCAAGGCCTTGAGTTAGCAAAATTGCAAAATACTTAGTCCTGTATTGTGAGTGAAGTCGTTTAACTTTATTTCATGTCCCTACTGTGAAATTTTATAAGGATAGCTCCTACATAGTACAGCTAAACCCATCTTGACTGGTTTGAACTATTTTGAATCTTCTGTATTTATAATTTAAATTTGGATGTTTTTTTCCTAGGGACTGAAGAAACCTTATAATCCTATACTTGGTGAGACTTTTCGTTGTCTGTGGATTCACCCCAGAACAAACAGCAAAACTTTTTATATTGCTGAACAGGTATTAGAAATGTGTCTTAAGCTAGCTGGTTTGGTTCAGTGGCTAGAGCGTCGGCCTGCGGACCGAAGGGTCCTGGGTTCAATTCCAGTCAAGAGCACATACCTTAGTTGCAGGCTCCTCCTGGCCCAGGCCCAGGTCATGGCATATGCAGGAGGCAGCCAATCGATGTGTTTCTCTCACATTGATACTCTTTGTCTTTTCCCCCTTTTAAAAAAAAAAAAAAAAAAAAATCAATGGAAAAATATCCTCAAGTGAGGATGAAAAAATAAAAAGAAATGTGTCTTAAGAAACAAAACTAATTCTGAAGTTATTGGAAAATATTAATTTAGTAAATTCACTGTTGGTTAACCATTGTTAATGAACATTTGGTAAGCATTTTACCTTTTAGTACTGAGTATTACTATACCATACTCAAAATTACTATTTCAGCCATAGAATCCTTTGACAAAAATAACTTTTTTCCTGCCTCCCATCCCTTTATCAGAATTCTTCCCTATTTCCCCAGTTCCTAAATCAAATTTATACCATTTGTGTGGCATTTACGGTCCTCCATATCTTTTTAAATTAACCTCAAATTACATGCCTTTCTGAGCTCTTTCAAAGTAGTCAAACTTGTACATTCAGAATTAGGTAACCTGATATTACACATTTTTTTTTGCCTTAGTAGTTTTAAATTTAATTCTTCTATCCCAATATTTCTTCTCTGTTGTACTTCATCTAAATAAACCTTGACCTGATCATCTTTCTTGGTCCAAATGATTACAGCTCCCAGTGATTTCTCTCCTCAGACTTCTGTATTTTTTGTGATTATCCATTAAGCTGTCATTTTAACACTTTTTATAAAATATTTATTTCCCAAATTGAATTGTTAGCTCCTTAAACGTATACCCTCCCCATAATACATCTCTTTTTATTGTACACATAGTAGGCAGTCAGAATACTTCTTAGTTTTAATCTTTGATTAATTTAAATTTATGTACACCTGTATTCATGATTGTTAATCTACATGACAACAAACAAACCATCCTAACAAACCTGACGAATGTGATATTATCTTTCAATAACAGTGGATCCTTATTATAATAATTCTCACCTGTATTGTAAGGAGGATGAGGAGACCATGTGGCATTTGAAAAACTTTCCTCTTCCCTAGAAATTTTAATATACCCCTCAGATTGAAACCACGTATCTGTATTAATTTTTTAAATTAATGATTAGAATACCTTACATTTTAGTTCACTATAATTCTTCTCTAAATTGAGAAGCTTGAGAAGAGTTTAATTGACTTTAGCTTTGTCTCATTTCAGAAAGCATAAGATGTATATATATATTAAAATATTAGATTATTAAAATAATATATTTGTCAAAGTTTTTGTTAGTTTTCTATAGCTATTCATAATTTATATGAAGAATTGCCACTGGTTAGTTATTCATTTTTGTATAACAAATTACTGCCAAAACTTAATGGCTTAAACAACATTTATTATATCATACAATGAGTTTCAGGAATCTGGAGCTCCTCAGCTGGGTGGTTCTGGCTCAGGGTCTTCAGAGGTTGTAGTTAAGATGTCATCCAGCTTTGTAGTCCTCGGAAGGTTTAAGTGGGATAGCAGTTTCTACTTTCAAGTTCATCACATAGCTTTTGACAATAGGACTTAGTTCCTCACAATATGGGCCCTTTCCATTGGTTTATTCACAATATGCAAGCTGGCTTTTTAGAGCTGATTATCTGAGAGACACACACATTATAACCTAATTTCAGAAGTGGCATGCTATCACTTCACATAAACCAACTTTGGTACAGTGTAAGAGGAGCCCACCTAATGGTTTGCATACTGGGAGGTGAGATTCCTTGGGAGACACCTTAGAGGCTGATTACTATAATCATCAATATTTAATTTTACTACTTACCAAATCTTTCTTCTTTATTAATAGAGTATACTTTTAAAACTTAACTTTTTGATAGTAGCACAATAATATTCTTAATAAATTCTATGTTTTTTCCTGTGTTCAATAGGTGTCCCATCACCCACCAATATCTGCCTTTTATGTTAGTAACCGAAAGGACGGATTTTGCATTAGTGGTAGTATCCTGGCTAAGTCGAAGTTCTATGGTGAGTTTCCTCTTGGCTCAGTAGGCACCCTTTTCTGGGAGGTAGTATTTTTTAGTGAACTTTTATTTAGATGGTGTCTTGATATGTTTTCAGTAAGGAATTTTTATGTTATTTTAAGTGTCATTTTTACTTGAATAATGACTTTTTTTGTCCATTCATAAATTGATATCTGCCTCATTTTATTTATATATATATATATATTTTCCATATGTATAAATTTATCCCAAATACCACTTATTAAAAAACTGAATAATGATTGCCCACTATGGTAGCCCTTTTAGTGCATAATGTATTTCTTTTGCCTTTGGCCCTTACTAAGGTTTTTGTTCTATCTTGATGTACCCAAGGGGTTTGTTTTTTTTATTTTAGTCTTTTTTTTTTAAATACATTTTATTGATTTTTTACAGAGAGGAAGGAAGAAGGATAGAGAGTCAGAAACATCGATGAGAGAGAAACATCAATCAGCCGCCTCCTGCACACTCCCCACTGGGGATGTGCCCGCAACCAAGGTACATGCCCTTGACCGGAATCGAACCTAGGACCCTTGAGTCCGCAGTCCGACGCTCTATCCACTGAGCCAAACCGGCCAGGGCTATTTTAGTCTTTGACTAGAGAGAGAAAGAATCCAAGTACAATTAGAATACTTGGTTCAGCATCATTTAGTAACAACATTTAACCTTGGTTCCAAAAACATACCAAAAAAGCTTTTGTTAAGTACAAGGGGAAAAAGAAATATAGTTGTAATAAGAAACCTTAATCTAATAACTGTAACTATCTAAACAAACAAATCATGGCCACAGCTATGTACTAGTAGAAAATATAACCTTAAAAGCTTTTATTTGTTTTTTTAAATGGAGAAAAATCAACGAATTAAATTTCAACTGGGAAATTTTAAACTTGAAAGAAAAAATAATTATGGTAAAATAGGAAAGATCAAATATGTCAACAGAAATCTAATCTTTGGTTATTTGAGTAGGTGGAGAACCATAGATAAGTCTGTGACACGGAAATCTAATAGTAGTTTTTGGTCCAGGAACATGATGTTCTTTTCTTCAAGATATTTTTTTTATTTCCCTTAATGTTAGTTTTATTTGGGTTTTGTTTTTTACCTACTTTTATGTTATGTTTGTTTCAGATGGTGATTGTTTTCTTCTGAAGGTTACATATATTTGTTATTCCCTCCCCATTGCACCTTCCTTCCATCGACACTCCTACTTTGACTATAGGGTAAATGGCTTACGACCATGAAGAACACTATCAACCACCTTACCATAATTAATATTTCTAAAACATCACAATCAACAGCTACAGCATACCCATTATTTTCAAGTATATGTATGATGTTGTCACTGGTCTAGACCACGTGTTTGACCATAAAACAACTCTCCATAAATTTCAAAAGGCTGAAAATTATACAGAGTATGTTCTGTAACTTCAATTAAATAGAATTAGAAATTAATGATATCATGCTAAATTACAAAATTTTGAAATTCAATAACATCTAAATTCATGGGTCAAAGAAGAAGTCACAAGAGAAGTTATTATATATTTTAAACTAAATGGTAATGAAACTATAACATTAAAATTTGTATGATGTAGCAAAAGCAGTGCTTAGAGGGAAATTTATAATTTTAAATTGAAAAAGGAGAAAGATCTAAATCAGTGATCTGAGTTTTTACCCTAGGAAATTAGAAAAAGAGCTAATTGAATTTAAAGTAAGTAGAAGAACGGAAATAATAAAGAGTAGACATCGGTGTAGAAAGTAGAAAAACAATACAGAAATCAAACAAGGGTTGGTTTTAGACTGATTATAAAAAGAGAGTAAAGATCAGAAATAAATGAGCAGAATTATTGATCCTACACACCCTGAAGTGATGATAAGGAGATATGGACAATTTTATACTGATAAATTTGACTGCTTAGATTGACATGGGCAAATCTCTTAAAAAACACAAGTTACCAAAACTGACCCAAGAATAAATGTAAAAATGTAATAGTCTTAAATCAATGTAAAAAATTGAATTAGTGATTTAAAATCTTCCTTTGAAGATATACTCTGGGCCCAAATGTCTTGAGTTCTTTTAAATATTTAAGGAAGAAAAATACCAATTTTATCCAACTTCTTACAGAAAATAGGAGAGGAGGATACACTTCTCAACTTATTTTATAAGGCCAGCACTATTCTCACCCCCCAAACCCAGCATTATAAGAAAACTATAAATCAATATCTCTTTAATATACTTGTAAAAATCCCTAACAAATTAGTAATAAGTCAGTATTAAAAAGGATAATATGTCGTGATCAATTGGAGTTTATCTCAGGAATACAAGGTTGGTGTGTTATCTGAAAATCAATGTAATTTATATTAATAGAATAAAGGAAAAGCATTTTACAGAATTCACTACCCATTTACAATAAAGGCTGTCGACAAATTAGGACTAGATTAAAGGTATTTATGAAAAATATATAGCCAACTTTATACTCCTAAGGTGGATATTGAATAATTTTGACCTAAAATTAGGAGCAAGGTAAAGATGTTCACGCTTACTACTTCTGTATTAAATTACATTTAAGGTGTTAGCCAGTGCAGTTGGCAAGTAAAAAGCATACAGATTAGAAAGGTAGAAGTTAAAATATATACATACCCGATCTATATAAAATATCGTTAAGAATATATCAAAAACTACTAAAACTATTAAGTAAATTTAATAAGGTTGCAGGATACAAGGTTAAAATACAAAAATAAATTGTACAAAATCAACACTTGCAGAATGTAACTTTAAAAAAAACTTTGATTACAACAGTATGTAAAAAATAGAATATTTAGGAATAAATTTAATGAAAGATACCCGCACACTGAAACTACAAAATATTGCTGAAGAAAATTAAAGATGACTTAAGTAACTGGAGAGATACACTATGTTCATGTATTAGATTGTTTTGATATTGTTAAAATGGCCTGAAATGTTGAAACAGAAGCATGGATGAATGTAAAAAAACAGTTTGATAAGTGAAAGAAGTCAAACACAATAAACTACATATTTTATGGTGCCATCCATACAAAACTCTAGAATAAGTAAAACTACAGTGACAGGAACCAGACCTGTGGTTTCCTGGGGCTGGAGGAAAGCATTGACTGCCAAGGTGTAAGGGGAAGTCTTTTTGGGGTATGGGAAATTCTGTATCTTGATTGTGGTCATGGTAATTACATGACTGTATACAGTTGCCAAGGCTATCAAAATAAATACTTAAAATGGGTCACTTATTATATCTAAACTAGAGGCCCGGTGCATGAAAAACGTGCACTCTGGGGGGTCTCTTAGCCTGGCATGTGCCCTCTCGCAGTTCGGGAGCCCTTGGGAGATGTCCAACTGACAACTTAGGCCCGCTCCCCAATATTAAGTGGAGAGCAGGCCTAAGACATCAGTCGGACATCCTTAGCACTGCCGTGGAGGTGGGAGAGGCTTCCACCACTGCCACTGCACTCGCCAGCCATGAGCCCAGCTCTGGCTGAGCAGCTCTCCCCCTGAGGGAGTGCACTGACCACCAGGAGGCAGCTCCTGCGTTGAGTGTCTGCCCCCTGGTGGTCAGTGTGCGTCATAGTGACCGGTCATTCTGCCGTTCAGTCGATTTGCGTATTAGCCTTTTATTATATAGGATTGTTATACTTCAATAAAACTGATGATGGGGGAAAAGAAAAATACATATGGGATAAAAGCTAGAAGAAAATATCCTGAAATTTTATCATTGATTGAATGGATTATGGGTTATGTATATTTTTATTTTTCTAAAGTATCTATAGCATTTTTAAAAAATATTTTTTAATTGATTTCAGAGAGGGAAGGAGGGGGAGAGAGAGAGAAAGAAACATCAATGATGAGAGAGAATCATTGATCAGATGCCACCTGCAAGCCTCCTACTAGGGATTGAGCCCAAAACTACTGAGCCACACTTGCCAGGCTCTAGCATTTTTATGTCAAAAGAACTTAAAGCTTGGGACTTAAGTAATACGACTTACAGAAGAAATAATGTTTTTATTAAAAATTGGGCAAATTAAGCTATACAGTGAAATAGTGTTTTTTGCATGTTCTACATGTTTAAAATTTTTCTTAAAAGTCTCATATAAATTAACAAGCACTTTTCATAAGAATGAAAATATAGATCAAATATATTTCAGGTATAACATGTGTTTGGACACATTGAGATTGTGAGACATTTTTATTTTTAAAACATTCCATTGTAGGTGTCTGGTAGGTGTCTTAAATATATTTCATTTGTTTTGAATTGGTGAAATTAGTTTTGTGAAATTTAATGAACGTTATTTATTTCAGGAAACTCATTATCTGCAATATTAGATGGAGAAGCACGATTAACTTTTTTGAATAGAGGTGAAGATTATGTAATGACAATGCCATATGCTCATTGTAAAGGTAAATGTTTTCCATACTTGAGTAAGATATTCCTAAAACCTTTTTAAATTAATGTATGTGGCTATAATTTGTTCTGTTTTGAGATTGATGAAGTCAATCATTTGTTTTAAAAGTGTACTTGTTTTATAGATATTTAAGATTATTGCAGTTATATTGAATATTTCTGTGGTGAATTAGTCTACACATATTTCAGACACATATTTTAGTTGAAAAGAGGCTGTTTACAATAATGGAATTTCATTTGCCTTAAGTGCAGGTTTTAAAATTGATGAAACTACCCATTATTTCAGAATCTTCAAAAGTGATTTTCATCATCTTGCACTACCACCCCTTTTTAAAATTTTAATAAATTGTTTTTCAGTGTACCAAGTCCTTTAAAATTTTTTCTCATTCTCATTTGGAAATTTCTTAAAAGGTGGTGTATTTGATTTCCCCCCCCATTATTTAGGGTACAGATATTAAAATAACTATTGTTTACAACAGTCCGGGCACCCAACTATTCCATGCACTTTATATTTATAAACTCAGTCATTCCAGCAACCCATATACTGGTAAAGTAGGTAATATCCCTATTTTATGGGCAATGAAAATGAGACACAAAGAGCCTTGCCTGATACTACATAGGTAGGATGTGGCAGAGTCAAGATTCTGCAATCTGCACCACTGTGCGATAGGGCATCAGCCTAAACACTCAGGTTGGTCATTATCTATACCAGTGATGGCGAACCTTTTGAGCTCGGCGTGTCAGCATTTTGAAAAACCCTAACTTAACTCTGGTGCCGTGTCACATATAGAAATTTTTTGATATTTGCAACCATAGTAAAAGAAAGACTTATATTTTTGATATTTATTTTATACTAGAGGCCCGGTGCACAAAAATTTGTGCACTGGGGGGGGGGTGTCCCTCAGCCCGGCATGTGCCCTCTCGCAGTCTGGGACCCCTCGGGGGATGACCACCTGCTGGCTTAGGCCTGCTCCCCGAGGGATTGGGCCAAAGATGGATATCAGACATCCCTCTGGCAGCCTGGCAGCCCTCGGGGGATGTCCACTTGCCAGTGGGGAGCAGACCTAAGCTGCAGTCAGACATCCTTAGCACTGCTGAGGAGGCAGGAGCGGCTCCAACCACCACCACTGTACTGGCAGCCATCAGCCTGGCTTGTGGCTGAGCAGAGCTCCCCCATAAGGGAGCGCACTGACCACCAGAGGGCAGCTCCTGCATTGAGCGTCTGCCCCCTGGTGGTCAGTGTGTGTCATAGTGACCAGTCATTCCCAGTCTTTCTGCTGTTAGGATCAGTTTGCATATTACCCTTTTACTATATAGGATAGAGGCCTGGTGCACGGGTGGGGGCCGGCTGGTTTGCCCTGAAGGGTGTCCCGGATCAGGGTGGGGCTTCTGCTTGAGTGCCTGGCCAGCCTGGGTGAGGGGCTGATGGCTGTTTGCAGCTGGTCACAGCCCCTTCAGGGTGGGGGTCCCCACTGGGGTGCCTGGCCAGCCTGGATGAGGGGCTGATGGCTGTTTTCAGGCTGGCCACACCCCCTTTAGGGTGGGGGTTCCCACTGGGGTGCCTGGCCAGTCTGGGTGAGGGACTGAGGGCCGTTTTCAGGCTGGCCGGCGACTGAAGCTCCCAGCCTCTCCTTTTTTTCTATTTTTTTTATTCTGCGATTTATTTACCTTCTATAATTGAAACTTCGTTGCTGTCACTGGAGCTGAGAGCCAGCTCCAGCTCCGTGGCCACCACCAGCTGAAAGCAGGTTTAGCTTCTATAATTGAAACTTTGTTGCTTTCGGAGCTTAGAGCCGGGCCGCGGCAGGCGGGGAACCTTGGCTTCCTCCATCACTGGAGCAAGCAAGCCTCCTGCTCGCTTCAGCTGCATGGCTGCCGGCCGCCATCTTGGTTGGCGGTTAATTTGCATATCACCCTGATTAGCCAATGGGAGGCGTAGCAAAGGTACAGTCAATTACCCTTTTTGTCTTTTATTAGATTGGATATTTAAATGCCATTTAACAAAGAAAAATCAACCAAAAAAATGAGTTCGCTTGTCACCTCTGACACGCGTGTCATAGGTTCGCCATCACTGACTATACTCTCCTTTCCAACTCATTTTTTTTTAATTGATTTCAGAGAGGAAAGGAGAGGGGGAAAGAGAGAGAGAAACGTCAGTGATGAGAATCATTGATTGGTTGCCTCCTGCATGCGCCCTACTGGGGATTGAGCCCACAACCTGGGCGTGTGCCCTGACCGAGAATCAAACTGTGACCTCTTGGTTTATAGGTCAGTGCTCAACCACTGAGCCACGCCGACTGTGCCCAACCCATTTCTTAAAAATAACTATTTTTGGTAATGATCCTCTATTTTAGGAACTGATCATGAAAACATATAACTTATTTCATATGACCTCATTTCACAGAGGAGAAAACTGGGAGGGTTAAGAATCTTATCCAAGGCCAAACAAGCTAGTTAGTGAGAACTGAGAATAAACTCTATGCTTGTTGATGCCCATCTACTGTACCATGAATCTACCTAGTGCTAAGTACAAGAATGGCCAACCTGTAGCCAGTAGCTAGATAATTCTTAGTTTCATGTGTGGTTCTTGAAATAGACATGAAGTGAAATATCTGAAATTATGAAATGAATTGATAAATATATTTTTAAATTTTATATCATTTGAAATATTTCATGTAAGTACCCAATACCATACCCAACTAGCAACAGGGGCAAATTTTTTCATAGCGTTGTTTTTATTGCATGGATGAAAGACGAGATTATAACTTTTAGTGAATGAGCATAGGAAATAATGATTATTTTTACCCTTTGTATTTTCTAAGATGTGTTCCCCAAATCACTAGTCTTGTTTTACAAAATTAGAGTTCCGTAGCCAAATAAGAATGAGAAGCCTTGCATAGTATGTTCCCCTTTTGGAAATGAACATTGTTTTACAAAATTAGTGTTCCATAACCCAGTAAGAATGAGAAGCCTTGCAGTTTGTTCCTTTCTTGGAAGTGAGCATTTTAAACTGCCTTACAGCTTGTCCTAAGAACAGATAACAACTCAAAATTTCAACACTCTGCCCATGTTCATGAATGACTGCAACAGTGCTGTGGGTAGTGATTTGGAGATTACTAATGTATTTCAATCTGTTTGTGAATATACAGATGTAGAATCTACAGATAATGTGTATCAACTATCATCTATTATCTATTCAAATTCTATAGAACTAACTTTATATGTATATTATAAATTGTTACTGAGTGGGATGGAGTACCCTTGCATTTTTAGTTTCTCCTAGAATGAAATTAGATTTTAAAGCTCTGCTTGTTATTAGCCAGTGTCTCTCTCTTCAACCTTCTGTCAAAATTGTTTTTTTTCTTTAGGAATTCTTTATGGCACAATGACACTGGAGCTTGGTGGAACGGTCAATATTACATGTCAGAAAACTGGATACAGTGCAATACTTGATTTTAAACTAAAGGTTAGTAGAGAATAATAGGACGTTTCACCTAATAAAAAAGGAGCTGTGATATAAATACTAAGAAAAGAACACAGTTTAGTTTATAATTTAAAGACTAAATATAATAACACAGAATTCATGAAAGGGCAGTCTTGGAAGATCCAGATCACTACAGAGCCATCATTTTTTATTTCTTTATTTTAATAAAGTGGTTTGCATTATGTAAGAGATGAAATCTAAGAAATAAATGGATATAAATTTTTCAGTAAATGAAAGTATTGCTTCACAAAATACCAAAAAAGTATATATCCGCTTGAGCTATAGCTGTGTACACTGAGAGTTGTGTTAGTTATTTCTAACTAACAATTTACTCTAAAACTCACAAGCTTAAAAACAACAATTTTTTGATCCTTTGGGGTTCTGTGGGTTGGGAATTTGGATAGAATATATTGGAAGTGGCTTATCTCTGCCACATAATGTCTGGGGCTTCAGTTAGAAAGACTTGAAGACTGAGTGACCACAGTTATGGCCTAGAACCATCTGAAGGCTCATCAGTTAGTTAGGTGTCTGATGCCTGGTCCAGATGACTGAAAGACTAGGACTGCTAATTTAACACCTATATATGTGGCCTTTCCATGTACCCTGGCTTTCTCACAGCCAGTTGGCCACTTCAAGACAATCAGACTAACAACCACTTGGCAGCTCAGGATTTCAAGTGTAAGTGTTCTTGTGAGTAAGGTGAAAACTGCATTGCCGTCCTTGACTCAAAGGTCAAATTTAATCACTTCCACCACTCTCTATTAATTGAAGAGTTATAAACCTACCCAAATTCAAGGGGAAGGGATGTAGACTCCATTTCTCACTGGGAGGATGGCAGGTTATCATTGAGGAAGAGCATGTGGCCTGGAGGGGGAAGGATAGATATGCTTGAGATAATCTTTGGAAAATCCTGTCTGTTTAGAGTGAAAGGGAAATTTAAGGCCTTTCACAGTGTCAGTGATTGGTGTAAGATAGTACATTATGTTCAGATAAAAATATTTCTGTGAACTATTAATATTTATTAATAGTTCCCATGTTGATATCCAGCTGACCAGCAACTTTTCACTAATAAAAAGGATCTCTTTTAAGTGTCATTTGATGTAATGTCCTTCATTTGATTTTTTTTTTTCATCTTAACAAATTTTTGCTTGTATGGTGATAATGATACTTGAAAATCATGACTAAAGAGCTCTTAAGTAATTTATAATATCTTTAACGATTATACTGGAGCACCAAAATTTTGTCACTGAGGAGAAACATCAGTAATGCAACATAGTAACTCAAAGTGTAGTTCTTCTAATTTTATTTTTTGGAGGTACTTTTGGTTGCGTATTATTTTACTGTTTTATTTTGAAGGAGGGGGTGTTATTTCTTTTAATAGATGAGTCAAGTCCTTTAGGTTTACTGAGTTATTTTTGCTTCATCTATTGCAACATTGATAGAATACAGTCTGAGGCAGGAGAGAGCACAGGACTTGTCAGTTAGGTCAGTGCGATCTTTCTCAGTAAGTTTATTTGAACTTCACGTAGTCTAGTTTTTTTAAGCTATTTTTTTCCATGTCAACAACTTCAAATTTCTTTTTATTGAACATTTCTGACTAAAGTTTGAGTCAGTATTTCACCATTTGTGCCTTCAACAGCACTGTAACTATGCAGTTACTTTTCCTATTGTTTTTGTCACATTGTATCTAAATTAAAGTTAAAAGCAAAATATTTATTTAACATTTTCTTTTTTAAAAGCCATTTCTAGGTAATAGTGACTGTGTTAACCAAATATCAGGGAAACTTAAACTGGGAAAAGAAGTCTTAGCTACTTTGGAAGGCCATTGGGTAAGTATTTTTATGTTTAGCTTAACAAAAGCATTTTCTATGGAAAAGAATTAACAATCACATTTTATAAACTCACTGATTCCATTGCTAAAATCATCACTATTTAACATAAGCTTCACCCTAACAAATATTTTGGTGTTGCTCTGTTACCAACAATATCTACTTGTATGTCATATTTTATCTTTCCAAAACTTTAAATCAGTAAAACCAACTAACACTTACATATGTCACTTACTATGCACTGCAGTGTTTATAAATGTTCCTCATATTAACTCATTTAATGTTTAATATAATAATTCTTTGTGGTGGTTACTGTTATTGTCCCTATTTTACAGAGGCACAGAGAGTTTAAATAATTTACTGCCCTAGCAGATTTGGCTCAGTGTACAGAGCGTTGACCTGCGGACTGAAAGGTCCCAGGTTCGATTCCAGTCAAGGGCATATGCCCGGGTTGTTGATTCGATCCCCAGTAGGGGGTATGCGGGAGGCAGCCAATCAGTGATTCTCTCTCATCATTGATGTTTCTATCGTTTCTATCTCTCTCCCTCTCCCTTCCTCTCTGAAATCAATTTTTTATATGTATAAATAAAATAATTTGCTGAAAGTAAGTGGTGGAGTAAGAATTCCAGCCTAAGCACTGTGGCTCCAGGACTGTGCTTTTATTACAACAGTATACTGCCTCTCACCTAGAAGGAAGGGGCATTTCCCATTAGAGTTATATTTCCTTTTCAGGAACATGGAAAGGCTATGGTTGTATATGAGAGCAATGGGTTTTATTTACTTCACTATTGACCTAAATTCACATCTATGTATTTTTGTTAAGAGAAGCTTAACTGAATAAAAAGGATCATACCATCCCATTGCCTGGGTGCACTCTCACTATGAACACTGAGTATTTTATGCATTATAATAAGCAGGAAATTATAAGAAATGTAAGAAAATGAAACTGGATCTAGAAACTCAACCACAGGGCCCTCTGTAATTTTAAAATTATACTTCTATATGCCCGGCGGGTGTTGCTCAGTGGTTGAGTGTTGACCTATGATCCAGGAGGTCACGGTTCAGTTACTGGTAAGGACACATGTCTGGGTTGCGGGCTTGATCCCCAGTGCGGGGTGTGCAGGAGGCAGCCAATCTCTCTCATCATTGATGTTTCTATCTCTCTCCCTCTCGCTTCCTCTCTGAATTCAATAAAAAAATATTTTTTTAATTTACTTCTATCTGAATATCATTTGGAAAAATGATAAAAAGTTTTTCAAAAAATGAAATTTTTCAGATTGTGCTCAAATGTTTAATGCTTAGAAAGGCTCTTTCAGGTTTTTCTACATATGTTGGATGTATAAATAGTCATCTCCTTGTAGCTGTAGCAAACACTATGATCCACTGTGGCAATTCGGAGATGGTTGGTGAGGCTTTGCATGTATTTGTTTGAAATTTGCTTATTAAGTAAAACTTGTGAAATCTCATGAACTTCCTGTGTATTCAATCAGATTTTAAAATTCTAGTATTACATATTTAACCTTGGTGATTTTCTAAAAATGAGGAAAGATTTGGGGTTTTTAGAAAAATGGTAGTTATATTTGTTTTTAAAATGTGTTTAACTGTGGGATTAAGTATCAGTACATATTATTATTACATTACTATATTGTATAATCTCCTTTTTAAATAAAGATAATTCTCCACATTAATGTTTCAATTCTTTAAATACAGGATAGTGAAGTTTTTATTAATGACAAAAAGACTGAAAATTCAGAGGTTTTCTGGAATCCAACACCAGACATTAAGCAATGGAGATTAATAAGACACACTGTAAAATTTGAAGAGCAGGGAGACTTTGAATCAGAGAAGTAAGTATACCATTTTTCAGCTAATTTCATGATGATAAAGAGTATATTTTTAATCCCTTAAAAGTGTAGTCATTTTTCTCTGCCTTCAATTATATTTTAATTCAGCAAAATAGTTTAACATTTGTGGGATGTGTCAGGATTCTGTTGTAGTTTATGTGAATGTCAAATAAAAGAACTTCTAGGTTTTTTTGCATACAATTATGGCACTAATTAATGATTCTTTGGCAGCTGTTTTCTGACCTGGGTAGGGCATCTCGAACTCTAGGTGAAGGATATGGCACAAAATCTACTTTTGTTTCATTTTTTAAAAATACATGAATAATGCCATTGCATGTGCAGACTTGCATTAGTTGGGTAATAATTAAGGCCATAGTTTCTGCTCTTAAAGTCATGAAATTCTTGATAGCTAGATCTGTAATCTTTTAAACCAAATATATTACATACACATTATCCAATTTTCTTACTATATTTCTTTTTTTTATTATATTTTTATTGATTTCAGAGAGGAAGGGAGAGGGAGAGAGAGATAGAAACATCAATGATGACAGATAATCATTGATCGGCTGCCTCCTGCATTCCCCACACTGGGGATCAAGCCCGCAACCCAGGCATGTGCCCTGATTGGGAATTGAACCGTGAACTCCTGCTCAACCACTGAGCCCAGCTGGGCCTTACTACAGTATATTTCTTTGTGTTAGAAGGGGGTGTTTGTGTAAAAGACACTATACTGAGTACTTGATACACATTATGCAGTTTAGTAAACTCAAATGCGTTATCATACTCTCTAAATGATTCAAGTGTTTGTGTACTTTCCTTCTACACTTAAAATTGAGGTTGTCAAAGATGGAATAATATGTATGCACAAGTCCTAAAATTCTGTTTCAGCTATAACCACATGATGCTCTTCATTTAGAATGAAGTTTTGCCAAGGCATACAATAATTTTTGAGGTGAGAACATAATTTAACATATTTTAAAGATGAAGAAAACCAGTCTGAGGCAGTGTAAGTAACTTTAAGTTCGTGTCCAAGAAGTGATCTAGGATTCAACCCAAGTCTAATTCCAAAGCCTTTGTTCTTTCAGTCCCAACATACTGTTTTCCCAGATTAGTGGAATATAGATACTATATTTTTATTTTTCTGACATAAAACTAAACTTTAGTAGGGGGAAAAATTTTATCTCAGTAGTCTTTTCTGGTAAATCAGTGGTTCTCAATACTGGCTGCACATTAAAATCACCTGGGAAACATTAAAAAAAATAATACTTGGGCCCTAGCCAGTTTGGGTCAGTGGACAGAGCATTGGCTTGTGGACTGAAGGGTCCCAGATTCGATTCTAGTCAAGGGCACATGCCTGGGTTGTGGGCTCGATCCCCAGTGGGGGGCGTGCAGGAGGCAGCCGATCAATGATTCTCATCATTGATGTTTCTGTCTCTCTCTCCCTCTCCCTTTCTCTCTGAAAGCAATAAAAATTTATTTAAAAAAAAAAATAAAAATACTTGGGCCCATTCCCACATTCCTCTCATCTTGGGTCAGTACCATTCATTGCCATATGTTTAAGAGTCCAGTCCTAGATGGTTTGGCTGCGTCGGGCCTGTGGAGTGAAAGGTCCTAGGTCAGTGATGGCAAACCTATGACGCGTGTCAGAGGTGACACGTGAACTTATTTTTTTGGTTGATTTTTCTTTGTTAAATGGCATTTAAATATATAAAATAAATATCAAAAATATAAATCTTTGTTTTACTATGGTTGCAAATATCAAAAAATTTCTATATGTGACACGGCACCAGAGTTAAGTTAGGGTTTTTCAAAATGCTGACACGCAGAGCTCAAAAGGTTCGCCATCACTGTCCTAGGTTCAATTCCGGCCAAGGGCACATGCCTGGATTGTGGGCTCGATCCCCAGTGGGGGTCGTGCCGGAGGCAGCTGATCAATGATTATCTGTCATCACTGATGTTTCTATCTCTCTCCCTTCCTCTCTGAAATCAATAAAAATATATTTTTAAAAAAGAGTCCATGTTAATAAATTTCTATTGCCAAGAAAAAAAATTATTTTCCACTGATGCTCTACTCAAGGACCATTTTTTATATCTGCACTCATTTCTAAGCATCTCAGTATAAGCTTTGTCAAAGACAAAAACACACAGGGGTATCATTTTCTTTAAAGGGGATTTAAACCTGTTCAATGTAGATTTGATTTTCTGTTGGTTTTTATACTATTTTTGTACATGTATTAGACTTTGGCAGCAAGTAACTCGAGCCATAAATGCAAAAGACCAAACAGAAGCTACTCAAGAGAAGTATGTTTTAGAGGAAGCTCAAAGACAATCTGCCAGAGATCGGAAAACAAAAAATGAAGAGTGGACTTGCAAGTTATTTGAACTTGAGCCACTCACAGGAGAATGGCATTACAAGTTTGCAGAGTAAGTAATTATCAGCATAATTTGTTGCCTTTATTTCTAGAATTTTTGTTAGTTTTTTATTAAGCCATATATATGTGTGTGTGTGTGTGTGTGTGTGTGTATATATATGTATAATGTGTGTGAGTGTGTGTGTAAATTAATGTGAGATTTAAACTTATTCCATTTATTATAAATTTGAATCCATGATAATTGTTAGTCTATAAAATAAGCTGAGGATCAGAAAATTAGATATGACATATCTTAATTTTACTGCTAGGTTTATAATTACTAAAGAAAATCTAATCTAAACTTTGAAAATGTTAAGTGTTTTATTTAATCATTAAACAAATGGTGTTTTTATTGCCTATGTAGTACTCGACCATGGGACCCACTTAATGATATGATACAGTTCGAAAAAGATGGTGTTATCCAGACCAAAGTGAAACATCGCACTCCAATGGTATGTAATAAAAAAAGTATCTAGATCTGCTAGGCATAAAAAATGTTTTAAATCCTTACTAGGTTCTTTGACCACCACCATTTAAAATTTAGTTTCAGAATGATATCATTTATTATAAGATGCTTTCTACATTAATCAGATACTATTAGTAAATAATTTTATTGGAAACACATCATTCAGTGGAAATGTTTATAATTTTGGGAACAAGATAAGTATGATTTAAAAGAACACTATTATTTAACATTCAACTAGAGGTACTAACTGGTGCAGTTAGAAAAGTGGTGGATCTATATTTATATTTGTGTTTGTATTAAAATGTCTCTTAAAGGATATACAAATAGCAGTGACTATCTATTTGGGGGGGTGGGGGGAGAAGACTGAATGTATAGGGATCAGGAGTGGGAGAGGAACTCTTCGTTGTATATCTTTTATGCTTTTTGATATTTGTGCCAAATTAATATTTTCTATTAAAATGAAATAAAATAGCCCTTGGCCAGGTAGCTCAGTTGGTTGGAGCATTGTCCCTACACCACAAAGTTGTGGGTTCAATCCCCAGTAAGGGTGTGTACAGGAAGCAGGCAACCAATTGATGTTTCTCTCTCACATTAATACCTCTCTCTCTCTCTCTCTCTCTCTCTCCTCTCTAAAATCAATAAACATATCCTTGCTTGAGGATTAAAAAAGTAAATAAAATAATTTGTTAAGTTTTAATTAGACTATATCACCTTTGTTTTTATGTCTAAGTATTGTGCCATTGAACAGATAGTTTCAACAGTTGTACATTGGTCTTTAAAATTCAATGCAAATTCACATAATAGCATGTTTGTTTTCAGGTTAGTGTCCCGAAAATGAAACATAAGCCAACCAGACAACAGAAGAAAGTGGCAAAAGGCTATTCATCTCCAGAACCTGATATCCAGGACTCATCTGGAAGTGAAGGTAAAAATATTTATTGCAGACTATTCACTATCGGAATCTAATTTTTAAAAAAAGATATTACTATACTATGTTTGATAGATGAAAATTTTTTATGTTAATTTAAGAAGATATGTAAAAGTTTTGGTGGGGGCAGGAATGGTGTGCCAAAAAAATGTTTTTAATCCCTATTTTAGATTATAGATAAATTTTAAGACCAGGCCACAGGTAAAGGCATGGGGTATGGAAAAGGGGGGAAGCGTGCAAATCAAGAACCACACTGTAGTGTTGCTCTTATGCCTGGTTAAGCTTCTGAAAAATTGTTGATGGCTTCCTAGATTCAATTCAGGAAGCATTTTTGAGCTTTAAAAAGTTTTTCATTCTCTAAATAAATTGTTGTAGTTATAGAAGTCAAGTAAATATATAGCTATACTAAAATTATGGGCTAAATTAACTAGTGTGCCATTCTTGTTCAAATCAGATGTGTAAACTGTGTTGAACTACACAGAGCTATAATCAAGAAAGGATTAAAGTAATGTCTGAGACACTATGAGAACAGGTTTTTTTGTTTTTTTGTGATTTTTTTTAATATATATTTTTATTGATTTCAGAGAGGAAGGGAGAGGGAGAGAGATAGAAACATCAATGATGAGAGAGAATCATTGATTGGCTGCCTCCTGCACGCCCCCTACTGGGGATCGAGCCTGCAACCCAGGCATGTGCCCTTGGCCGGAATCGAACCTGGGACCCTTCAGTCCGCAGGCTGACGCTCTATCCATTGAGCCAAACCAGCTAGGGCGAGAACAGGTTTTTTAAAGGCATAGTCTTTAATCTCACACTAAACTGGGGAGCTCATTTTTATAGAGGTTAACACTTGAGGTGAATAAATGATAAATACCAGGAAAGTAGTAGAAGAAAAATAGTTAAGAGTTGAAAGGTAGCTGAATTCAGTTTGGGGAAATGTTCTTAGAGGAACTCTGATGAATTTATAATGAATTATAATATAAGCTTGAGAACTGCAGGTAGGGAACAAGCTACTGGAATAACGAGGAATAGACTGAATAAAGGTTTAAAAGCAGGAATTGCATGGTACCCATGTGCTAGAGGGAGTGTTTGATACACTGTTGCTCCCATTTTGAGAAAAGGAAACTAAGATACAGGTTAATCTGCCCAAGGACATATATCATCCCATAAGACAATATATATGTTATATAAGCAGATATTTTGGCTCCTTAATTTACTCTCTTCTCTTATCCCTCCACTATATTACCTATAATGTATCAGCTGTCATTTATTGAGTACTTAAAGTGTACCAAACTGGATGTTAAACACACATTACTACTATGAAATTTGGGTGTTAATTATACCCATTTTACAAATGAGAAAGCTGAGACCTGGAGAGAGGCTAAGATCTGAACAAAAATGGAAAGGAAGGAATAGATACATTCGGGGAATTAGAAAAAAAACAAAACACCAGTACAGTTTGCTCGTTGATAATAAAAGTGTATAGAAGTATCAAAACCAATTGAAAAAGTTTAAAGTCTGGGTGACTAGGGGAATAAAGATAACATTAACAACTAATATAAAATTGAAAAAGGGGCTCAAAAAGCTGACTTCCTCAGATGAAGGCAAATGGGCAAAGAGATAGAAGAGAGTAATATCTTCCCAAGTTAATATATGTATTTATTGAGCTATTTTTGTCTGTTTTAATTAGTTAAAAAATAAAACTGATACCATCCAAAACTACTACTTTGTGGTTACTTTAAATATATCTGTAGTGTTCTAGTTTTGGAATGATATGATTAAAACTTCAAAAATGTAGAGTATTTGTATTATTATGTTAATCTCTAAACCATAAAAATGGTGCCTGGGAAAATTTTTATTATATGAGAATCATTAAGCTACAATGTAGATTGTTTATAATTAAATATGTTCACTATTTTCACCATGTTTATTCTAAATATCCTTTTAGCTCAACCAGTAAAACCAAGTACAAGAAGAAAGAAAGGAATAGACTTGGGAGACATTCAGAATTCCATTGAATCCATAAAACAAGCACAGGAAGAAATTAAAAGGTAATACATGCTGACTATTCATTTGAGTCCAGAGGTGTAGTTTAGAATCCTGTTACATAGGAAATCATAGGCCAATATTTTGCAAATCATTTACATTTTTAATATCTTTACTAAACTAAAATAGAGCCTTGGCTTCTGTCACCTGATGACTGAAATGCATGAAAATCTTTCAGCACTAAAATATTGGGGGAGATGTTGAGATTGCTTTTTCTCATCTCTGAGTGTGAAATTGGAATCTCTTGATCTTATTGCTGTAGCATACTAAGAATGCAGCTGACCTGGATGTGGAAGTGGGTGATTTCTGAGAAAGGCCATTAACAAAGGCTTCTGCAGTCTCCTTTGTTCATGGCTAATATTTAATTGCAATGCACCAGTTGAAATATTGAAATACTTTCACATGTGGATAAAGAGCCACTACCCTGAGACCTTCATGTGCCCCACTGGCAGTCCCAGACCTTTTCCCCACACACCTCCCAGATCCAGCAACTAAAAGTCATTAACACCTACACAGGTTCCTTGGAGGGAAAAGGAACTTACACTGCGCCTTGCTAAAGCTAGCATGAGTTCAGATCAATTGTCTCCCATTGCTGTATCAGATGTTAATTTTTTTTAATACTAGCCAACCTGCTTTTGTATATTCAGTACTTAGCACTAGATGTTCTGGAAGATTTTTTTCAAAGATATTTTCTCTTTTCATAGTGATCTTATAACTCATATTTAGCTGCTATTTTCATCCACAGCCTCATCTCCTGCCATTCCCCTACCCCGTGGTCGGCAAACTGCAGCTCACGAGCCACATGCGGCTCTTTGGCCCCTTGAGTCTGGCTCTTCCACAAAATACCACGTGCGGGCGCGCACATACAGTGCGAGTGAAACTTCGTGGCCCATGCACAGAGGTCGGTATTTTGTGGAAGAGCCACACTCAAGGGGCCAAAGAGCCGCATGTGGCTCGCGAGCTGTAGTTTGCCAAGTCGCAGTCTGCCGACCACTGCCCTACACCAAGCATGTCAAACTCAAAGGCTAACACAGGCCAAATAAACAAGGTTTAAGTTTATGTGGGCCACAAAAAAACAAAAGCTTCAATTTTTATCGAAGCTTAGGTTTATTTTGATAGAGACTTGCTGAATACAAGGGCTGAAATAAATGAGTAATTGTTAGCATAAAATAATAGAACATTTTAATAAAAATTAATATTTTTTCTTGAGCATTAATTTACCAGACACTGAATAACTGCACAAATTAATAAGCGTAACGCAAATAAACCTATTTTTCTTGTTCTCTGAAAGCGAAATATTTCCTGTTACGCACACTGAACAAGTCAGTCCAAGATCAATGACTTGGCCATTAGCTGCTAAAATATTCGCTGCTGGTATTAGTGGAGAGAAATGGTGTGCCTGTGCATAAGGCGAGTAAGGGAAAACACAATTATACAATTATAGTGATCAGTCATTAGTGAACGTTGTAGTTCATTTTTAATAATTATGTGTAACAGGATATTGTAAAAATTAAATTACGAAATTTTTATTAAAACGTTTCTTACATACCGTTATATTGGCTGGGCCGCAAAAACTTTTGTTGTGGGCCTTGAGTTTGACATGCTTGCGCTACACCTATCCCATACTTAAGTCCTATGATATAGTGATCAGTCATTAGTGAACGTTGTAGTTCATTTTTAATAATTATGTGTAACAGGATATTGTAAAAATTAAATTACGAAATTTTTATTAAAACGTTTCTTACATACCGTTATATTGGCTGGGCCGCAAAAACTTTTGTTGTGGGCCTTGAGTTTGACATGCTTGCGCTACACCTATCCCATACTTAAGTCCTATGAATCTCCTCACATCTTCAGACTATACTCTTCTCTCGCATCTTTGGATTTTTGCCCACACTGAACCCACTTCTTAGATGGCCCTTCCTCCCACCCTGGCCATCAAAAAATCCCTGTTTATCCTTCAGAATATAACTCAAATGCCACCCTTTTTGTAACATGTCTCATCACTTACCTTCCCCTGTAGGGTTATTAATGCCTCCACTCAGCTTGTTTAGCTCTCTCTACATATTCCTTTGGAGCATGACTCTATCAAAATAAACGTATGCTTCGATAAAAATTGAAGCTTTTGTATGTGTCTGTTTATCCCTGCTGGACCATGAGCTCCTCTAGAGCAGAGAGCCTGTTTTCTGCATCTTGGTATCATTGACCCTAACATAATGTGCTCACATTTTCTAATTTAATTATATTTATAAATTGAGTCTACTTTTTTGTTTTGCCTCCTTTTCTTTCTCTATAGTGGTAAGACACTTTAATAGAAGAAGTCAGAAAAAGAAAAGGTCTTCACTAATCAGCTCTTTTTAGCCAAAAGCAGTTAGGGTGGCATGAGGATATTTTAAACTCACTTCATAACTAAATTGACAGTTTATTTTTATTTGCATATGAAATGTCCATAGAGCATTCTCTAAGTTATGAACGTCATGAAATCTGTTGCATTATTTTTTTCAGGGTAATTTAGGATTTTTCTTCAATTCCACCTCTGTCTTCCGAAAGTAAAGATAAAGAACCTTGGTGGGCCAACTAAGACGCAAAGTTTTTGTTTTAAAGCCACTGTAATAACAGAGAAGGTGATATATTTCTACATCATCAAACTAATAATTATGTTTGATGCACAGCATTAAGTAATATATTTGGTACAATGTGGAATATAGATTTAGACAAGACCTAATAATAGCTCCACATAGCATAATCAGCTCCTTGTTCAGGCAGCAGTGATTGAGATAGTTACTTTTGTTACTGTAATTAAGTGCTCTGTGGCCATATATGAAATTATGAGTTCTGTGCTAACATTTTTCACAAATAATTTAAAAATTTACTGTTGCTTATTTTTGTAGAAATATTACGGCTCTTCGAAATCATTTAGTTTCAAGCGCACCTACCACGGATTATTTTTTGCAACAAAAAGACTACTTCATCATTTTCCTCCTGATTTTGCTTCAAGTTGTAATAAACTTCATGTTTAAATAGTTCTTTACAGTAAACTATTCAATGAACTGGAATGATCAGATTCGGCCTGGGATCAATGTTCAAGTTGGTTCAGTTTTATTAAAACATCACTATATTTCTGAAACAAAACCTTAGAGATAAATGCAGAGGTGTTGATCTTTCATACCTTTTATCTTTAACCTGAAACAAGAGCTATTCTGTTTGGTTATTAAAGTGAGCTATGTGTTACGTGCCAGAACATTTCTAGTTTTTGTGAGAATGTGTTTACATGTGAGTATAATAAATCCACATGTATACACAACTGTGTCTTATGTATACCTGATAGTCTTTGTATTCTATAGTATGTTCTGAGATATAGCACTAATGGTCATAACAAAAATGTTATCAATATTATAAATATGTGTATTAACTCTTTTCTTCATAACAGGCACAAACTTTTATCAGTAAGGAATTACAAAATAGGAAATGATGGGATAATAAACATATTATAAATAGTTCAATACACTCTAGTGTTTAAAAAAATCATTTCCCAAAATAAAAATAAATTTTAAAAAATCATTCCCAAGCACCTAGCTCAATAGTCTTCTTAGATAAAACAAGAAAAAGTGGTCAAAATTGATATATTGAGAGACACAAGGTGGCAACTTGCTTTTTTTAAAGTTTACACAAGATTATTTTTTTTGCCCCCTCGAATTTAATATTTATAAAGGTACAAATGTACACAGGTGTATGTCAATATAAAAAAAAGGTATACAGCTACTTGGATCTGTTGATTATATCTTTCTTACATCTATCTAATACTACCTTAAGCACTTGCTGATAAAAGTGTGGTCAAAATTGGTTGCTGTCCTTTTTTCTTATTTTTGTTTTTTTAATTCAATCTGATAACACAGGCCAAATTCTAGAGATGTTTATATGGCAGCGATTTTCAGCCTTTTTCATCTTATGGCACCCATAAACTAACTACTACAATTCTGTAGCACACCAAAAAATAAATATTGTGCTGATCTGACAAAAAATAGATATAATTTTGATTCATTTACACTGGACAGCTGTTGTACTGGCTGTTGTCATTTTTTATTTGACAATCTAAGGAAAAAAAGATCAGTGCCCCTGACCAAATAGTCAGATATTGCATGTTTTAAAAATTCTTGCAGAAAAAAAAATTCTGTGGTACACCAGTGTGCCTGCCACAGTACACTGGTTGAAAATTGTAATTATAAGGCATATGAAATGCTGAAAATTCATGTTTTTTTCATTATGAAGAACTTATTTTAGCTTTCATTTAGACTGTAGTGTGCTCAGTGAATAAATAGGAGAAATTATAACCAACATTTTATTTTAAAAGCCGAATAAAAGAAAGATGCTTTGTATGGTGGCATTTATATGTACAATAAAATTAGTTTCTTTAAAATGTGCAATAAGTTGAGCATCTAAGAAGAGCATCAAGTTCTGAAGTTTAATTTTTTATTCTCCTTGGTTCTTAGTAACTTCATTCTGTTACAAAACCATAATTCTTCAAGATTCCTTTTGTTCAGGCTCAAACTTTTCCTACTTTTCTTTTCAGGTTAATATTTTTACTTTATGTTTTTTACATAAATGTAGTCCTCAAAAGCCATTTTTACAAATGTAAATTAAGTGTAGGAACGTGTACTAAGATATATGTTAGAAACCTGAAAATATCAATTTTGAAAATAAAGACAGAATAATTGCTCTGGCTACATTTGCCTTTGACTAAGAAGAGACTGTTAGACACTAGTAAAATTACAATCAGCTGTTTATTGCCATGATAAATATAAAATCAAAGAATGGTTGCTAAATTATGAAAATTGAAAATGATAAAAGGAGCCTGCTTTCCCCCTCCCCCTAACCATTATAGCTATCTTAAATATTCTAAAGTTTTATGAAGAGCCATTTCCTGTGTATTTTTGGCAAAAAAATGTATTCCATATGTGCATGTGAAACATAGTTTAAATTGATTAAAACATAAATAAGATGTACCTATACCTAGTATAAGTATAGGTATAATGTGATTACACTAGAACAAGTGGGGGATTTTTGCTTGTATTTCATTCTTGTTGATACCATTTTTGTACTCTGTTACCAATGTTATGCTCAACTGCCTATTCACTGATATATATTTTGTAAATATTGTACAATTTGATCTTTTTTATGGTTTAAATTAGTATTAATTTATATTACATATAACTTAATTGGCTGATCACAAAGTCATTTCATCATTAAACCCTGAAAACTTAACATTTTTGTTGGTAACCCCCTTTTGGGGTTTTAGTCTTAGCTGCTTGTGGGTTATTTACATTTGGTCTAAATAGTGTTTATTTGTATAGGTATCTTCTAAGACTGGAAACGTATTTATTTACTTTATTATTTTCCTTTAGGGCAGATGTTATGGGTTCTGATTACCCAACGAGTCAAAAACTATTTCATGAGAAAGCAGGGTTACTTATGACTGTTCCTTATACACTAAAAGCATATATCTAATCCAAAGGTCTTCTTATGCTTTTAGTTGTATGAGTTCCTTTCTGCAAACTGAACACAAAACTCAGGAATTGGTGGCTTAGTTTTAGATCAGTGCTTATACCAGGTTTAGTGTGTGAATCTTTTAAAACACAAAATTAACTTTGTAGTTAGCCATATATGTTACTGACTTTGAATGTTCTCTACCTGGAATTACTCTTCCTTCACACATGGATTCATAAAAATTGTGATTTACAGTTCTCAGTTGTCTGAGAACTTTATAATGATTTCTAGGATTTAAGATCTTATATCCTGTTTATTTTCATTTGATCAAAAATTTTATTTTTTCACATGAAAATTAAGGTAATAATTGACATGTGCATTTCTATTTTGGTTGTTAAGTGTATTATACTTTCAGTTATTCACCATTTAATGAGGGGTAACTGGCCCAGGAAAAGACAATAAACAGGGCATGTGAAATAAGTAAGTTTCAGCAATAGATATTTACTGTATTTCATGTCAGTACTTTTTGTATCATTTATAAGTGTAAATTTTGTCACCATTCCATTGAAAAAGTTGGCCTTGTAAAATACAACCCTCATTTAGTAGTATTCACGCTTTTGTGCCTTTAAGAAAATACTTTTACTCATTTTGTGTTACAGAACTATATAATATGATTCAAAGTGTTTATAGGCTTACGTGTCATAAAGGGTCATTTCTCTTTGTCACCTTATTTCCTTTTATATAGCTAAGTATATTTCAATGGTAATGCTGTACTTTTATAAGGGTTTGTCTATTTACCTATTTCAAATATATTCACTCTCAACATCATTGAAGTAGACTTGTGAGATTATTCTGAGTATTGTAAACAGTGCCTTTCTGATGGAATTCACACTGTTTTGGGTGTCAACTTGTGCCATAAATACACAAAATTCTGTGAAAGGCAGTTTTAACTTTTTGAAGAATATCTTAGTCAAATATTTAAGAAAATAAATGTATAAAATTCCATTTTCCTAGTGTTTAGCATTTCTAGTGAGCAGTGAATATATTTTTGGGGTTTGTTTGACATAAGTTGATAATGACATTGCTGTTGAGCCATATATGATGCTCTAGATTATTTTGAATTATGCTAAATGTACAGAACTAAAATATTAAAATTAGCATTTATACCAAATTTTCCAATTTGAACCGATGGTGGGAGGGGACCCCACACAAATCACTAAGTTTACATTTCAACTTCTGATTACATGGAAAAAGAGATTCTTTAAAAATATATAATCTGCCGCTATTATGTAATTTGGTTTCATTTTGTTTACCTATAGTGTGAATTTAGTATATTTAATTTACTTTTTGTTACTCTTAATATAGCTTGTTTTGTTACAGTTTTTATTTGAAGACAGACTATTAAAATTGTATAGGACCAGTATCTCCTTAATATGATTTACATAGTTAGAAGAGCCACAAGAACCCCATGACAAAATGAATGTGAATATACTTTCTAAAAAATTCAGAAAATTTTATCTTTCTGCATTTATCATGTAAAATTATTTTAGTATTATAATGTTGAAATTTATTTAAAGAAAAATGCCACAAGACATTTGAACTGATGAGCCACAGAATGTCAGTTGAAAATTTTTTCACTTTTTAGCATGCTAAATATACATCTAAGTTAAATATTCTGATTGATGGCCACTTATAAATTCACACTACCACTGGTCAGTTTGTATAACAGAATAAAAGTATGTTATCTGCAGTGTAAGTACAGCACACTGTCAAATTCTTTTCCTTGAGGTGCATCGTAAATGTACAGATAGTCATAGGCTACTGTTTTGTAATGTATTACATTTCTAATCTATTATTCCTAACCTATTATGTGTGCAGAGACAAAGAATTGAATTTTTCTAATGATCTGTAAAATTATGCTAACTTCTACAAGTAGGCATTCTAAATAAAATTTTAAAAAAGCAAATTGTGATCAAATGACTTTGAATATAACACATTAAATTACTAGTCCTAATTTTTTAATTAAAAATTTTAATGGGTATAGTTGTGAAGGATGGTGCAGGGTTTGGAAGGGATTTAACAGAATCCTTAATGCTTGCTTTACTTGGTACTTTATATTCATTTCTCTTCGACTACTCATAATAACCTTAAGGTAAGTGGAAGTTAACCCGATTTTATAAAGGAAGAATCTGAGGCTCAGAGAAGTTAAATGATTCCAAAAGCTTCATAGAGTAAGGGTAATAACAAGCACAAGTTTGGATCCAAGTCTAACTGCAGCGTCCATTGCTTTTTCACTGCACTTAAAGAGAACTCTGCACCACTTTTAAATGTTTGGAATAATCCTCTGCTCTAATCTTTATTGAGTAATGTAACCCCTTTGCGATGGGTAGAACCAGAAAAAACAACAACACAACTTACTATTAAAGAAGCATACACACAAAACCCATATGAAAAAGGTTTTTCCTCTTAAATCACTTTTATGTCTATAATGATATCAGATAAGTTCCAAGAAATGACTCTTCTCTGGTTTTCCTCATCCTCTTGCCCTCCCCTTCTTGCTCTCTCCTCAGGGTCCAGTGGCTTCTGGCTAATAGTCAGTTGGTTCTGTCTTGTTAATTGGGGGAAGGGAGGGAAGGGCTTATAGCTTTTAGAACACAGGAGTAAGGAGCAAGGAAAACAGCCCCTCACTGTTCAACCTCAATGAAAAAAATCTACAAGATGCTTTTCTTACTAATAATTGGCCACACTCTGGGATGTCCTGTTATGCTATTACCCTAATCGATTCTTCTGCACCTTACAGAATATCCCTTTCTTGTAGATAGTAAGCCCATACAGGTGACATGTCACAGCAACTTGGTGGGTGAGCTCTTATAGACTGTTGAGTGCCTAGAATATGCTGGCACCATGCAAAAAGGCACTCTGTAAACACTGTCACCCTCCTCAAAACCTTGAGATTTTTCATATACATCCTATTCTCTCCATTTGTGTAAATCTGAGAGATTTTGGAGGCAGAAATACTTGCTGGCAGATGAATGGCAGAGCAAATCCCAGATCTAAACCTTAAGCCCATGCTCTTGACCACTTCATCTTTGAGTGTCTTAATACGTAAAACAGTATGTTCCTCTGCCTAACACTTTTCCTTTCCTGCCGCTGGACTGTACCCAGTAATGTTAGAGCACTGTGTTTAAAGCATCCCACTGACCACTAACCAATGTGGCCAAGTATTCACGTCACTTCTGCTAACGTTCAACAAAATTACGGTGGCGGGCAGGTCACAGTGATGCCCGAGTCCAGGAAGTGCGGGAAGGAGCCCTGCGCAAAGCAGAGAGCCTGCAGCTGGTGACCCTACCCAGGCCCCCGCCCTCTATCCTGCAACCCCAAATCGCTTTCGTGAACGGAAGGAGAGCAGCTGGCGGATGTGGGTCCAGGGCAGAGGTTTTGCTGCGAAACCACGAGGACCTTGGAACGAGCCGAGCCGGCCCCGCCGCGTCCGTCCCCTCCCTCCCAGGGGCTCCACTGCCGCGCCGACGGCGGGAGCAAGGACACGGGAGACGGGCGGCGGCGGGAACCGGGGAGGGGGGCACCCACCCAGCGCCCTGGGGAAGGGGAAGGGATCGCGGGTTCGGGGCTGGGCAGCCCCGGGAAGGCCACACGCTTCCTGATCATCGCGGGCTACTGGACCGCCGCGCAGCCGTCTGATGAGCGGGCGGAGGGGCCGAGGGGCCGTCTCTTCGCCTCGCTTTCCGGCGTCCTCCCCGCCCTTTCCGCTTCCTGCCATGCCGCGCCCCGCCCCCTCCAGGCTGCCCGGGGGCTTCTGCCAACAGCCCGACCACGACCCGCAGGGCTATGGCTGCCGAAGGGTCTGTGCAGGCGGCGTTGCAGGTCGCGCAGGCGCTGGAAACCATCGTGAGCGGCTGCGTGGGGCCCGAGGGCCGGCAGGTCCTGTGCACGAAGCCCACCGGCGACGTGCTGCTCAGCCGGGACGGAGGCCGCCTCCTGGCGGCGCTTCACCTAGAGCATCCCCTGGCCAGGTACCCGCGTCCCCCGTCCGCCCGGAGCGCCCTCTGAGCGGTCGCCCAGGCCGCCTCCCGGAGCTCCGTGCCCCTGCGGCTGTGCTGCTGGAAAAAACTACCTTTGGGTGAGGCCATGTGTGCGCAGGGCTGGAGCGCTGCCCCGGCGAACACCGCACTGACACCAGATCTCACCAGCTCCTAACGTTTCTCACTCCCGCCGCAGCCGACCCCAGGCTCTAGGACTCCCAGTAACTTGGAGAAGGAAAAACTAAACCTAAGGGCATAGCAGAGGGACAGCATCCTCATTTTATGCCGACAGCTGTGAAAACGTGGTTTCAATTTGGTCTAGATGTAGGAAGGCAGCCACTGAAAATCTGAGTTGCTTTATTTCTTTTTTTTGTGCAGGGTGATGGTGGCGTGTGTTTCCAGCCATCTAAGAAAAACAGGAGACGGTGCTAAGACATTCATTATCTTTCTTTGCCATTTGCTCAGAGGACTTCACGCAGCCACAGACAAAGAAAAAGATTCTTTGATTTCCAAACATATTCACACTCACGGAAGGCATTGGAAAACTTGTTGTCGGTGGAAATTTATTTCCCAAGCTCTTCTAACGTTTCAGACACAAGTATTAGACCGTGTTGTGGACCAATATTTGAGTAGACACTTTCTGTCCATCTTTTCTTCCTCCACTAAAGGGAGGAGGCTGTGTAGGAGCTCTTTCCAGTTGCTCTTAGAAGCATACTTTGGTGGAAGAGTGGGAAGAAATAATCACAGCTTTATTTCACAGTTGATGTGCGACTACTTTTTCCAGTGTATGGCTTGTGAAAGTGGGTGTGAAGAGGTATCTGAGTTAGTGGATGACTGTTTCGTAGAGCTGAACATTGGTGTCACTGGCCTTCCTGTTTCAGATTCCAGGATCGTGGCTGGGCTTGTACTTCACAGAGACTTTTCTGTGTACTGTCCAGCAGATGGTGACATAAGAATAGCGTTCGTAACGGAAACCATTCAGCCTCTCTTCTCAACCTCTGGATCAGAGTTCATTCTAAATTCAGAGGCACAGTTTCAGACCTCTCAATTTTGGATTATGGAAAGGACAAAAGCAATCATGAAAAGCTTACAGAGTCAAAATGTAAAATTGCTCCTATCTAGTGTGAAACAACCAGACTTAGTTATTTATTATGCAGGGTTGAATGGCATATCAGTGGTGGAATGTTTATCATCGGAAGAAATTTCTCTTATTCAAAGGATCATTGGTCTTTCTCCCTTTGTACTGCCACAAGCCTCTTCGCAGTATGAAATCTCCAGCACTGCTTTGGTGAAATTTTGTAAGCCCCTTATCCTTAGATCCAAAAGGTATGTTCATCTTGGCTTGATTAGCACATGTTCATTTATACCACACTGTATGGTTCTTTGTGCACCAGTGCAGGGTCTTGTTGAACAACATGAGGGTGCTTTACATGGAGCGTTTAAAATGCTTCGGCAGTTATTTAAAGACCTTGATCTGAGTTACACGACACAAACCAGTGGCCAAAATTATACATCAAGTCCTCTTACTTATAAGAGTAGGGAAAGTAATCAGTTGCCAGAAATTGTTAGTGGCTCAATACAAAGGCCACCTCAGGGCACAGTTGAAAAGAACGAAGGTGAACTGGCAAAAACTCACACATATTTAAAAGTACATTCAAATTTGGTAGTTCCAAGTGTAGGATTAGAAACATGTATTTCTTGTTCAACACCAAAAGTGATACCAGCAGATACACACCAGACAGATGAAACACGGAGATGTTTATCTGCAAACAAAACCAGGATAATTGATGATCGTGATTTGTTTATTGAGAGTGATCCTACTACTGAGTCAACAGCAGAAAACACTAGAGTAGAAGCTTCTTATGAAAATTTATCGATCACGAAAATGGCTGGAAAGGGTCGTATGTTACCAGTGAGGTGTAAGCCACTGGAGATGGGTGCTTCCCAGAGCTACTCTTTTTCATCTATACCAGCAGGTTGTGTTTTGCCAGTGGGTGGTAATTTTGAGATCTTGTTACATTACTATCTTCTCAACTATGTCAAAAAATGCCAGCAATCTGAAGCAACCATGGTTGGTATGATAATAGCTAATGCACTTTTAGGCATTCCCAGAATCCTGTATAAATCTAAGAAAGGAAATCAGAGCTTTCCACAAGTATATGTAAGAGCTCTCCAAGCACTGCAAACCAACCAACCCATGGGAAGCAGTCAGACAGGTTTGGAATCAGTATCTGGTAAATACCAGTTACTAACTTCAGTTCTTCAGTGTTTGGCAAAAATTTTAGCCATTGATTTGGTAATCAGTATTAAGAGACAGCCTCAGGAAATTTATGATCAAGAGTCAGAAGAAGAGCTATGAAGTCGGAAAGTCTTTATTAAAAAACAGTTATAATCCAACTCAAGCCAAAAAGCAAAGCAGGCATATGACTATTGATTCTCAAGTCAGTTCAGTCTAGGTAGGAAAACAGCATGATTTAAAAAGTCTTTCGAGGAAGTACACTAAGAGGCCAGCAGACATTCAGACACAAATATTAGATTGTTACGGAACAATTCTGAGGATAAAGCCTCCTGGCTGAGGGAAGCTAAGACCTGACTAAGTGTGTTCCTCCCCCCACACAGACACCTCTTAATGTCCCTGTGTTTCAGCTCTGTGTCAGTCTGTGTGTTTAGGGGAGGGAGTTTCATTAGAGCGCCTTTTCACTCTCCATCTCTGTTCCCTCGCCTGTTTGTATTTAGTTCATAGAATCATTTAATCTCAGATTTGGATGAGGTCTTCAAATGCCATCCTATTTTATTTTTTTATTTATTTTATTTTATTTTTTTAAAAAATACATTCCATTGATTTTCCACAGAGAGGAAGGGAGAGGGACAGAGAGCCAGAAACATCGATGAGAGAGAAACACCGATCAGCTGCCCCCTGCACACTCCCCACTGGGGATGCGCCCGCAACCAAGGCACACGCCCCTGACCAGAATCGAACCCGGGACCCCCCAGTCCGCAGGCCGACGCTCCATCCACCGAGCCAAACCGGTCAGGTGCCATCCTATTTTAATTGTTTACAATATATTATTTACTTCATTTAAAATAATTACTCATGATTTCTAAAGCAATGAGTACAAAATCTCTATTCCTTTCTCAAAAAACATAAATCAAATTGGTTTGTACTTTCATATGGTCCCTTGTTTATTTCCATTGCATTGGAAAGCCTGGAGAGTGTCTGACCCTCCATACGCCATTGAAGATATGCTACTCAGAATAGGACTTTGTGCACTGTGAACTTATTTTCATTTTTGTAGTTAAAAGTTAATTCCAGAAAGGACATGAATTCATACTTTAACTTTTTCCTGGCCCCTAAGAGCTTGTAAAAATAATGTTTTTGCTGTTTTTTTCTTGTACTTAGTGCATGGCCAGACGTTAGTAGTAACAAATAATTTAAGAATTACTTATTTCCCGTGTGAATTTTAAATGTTTTTATTTTATTTGAAGGGGTTATAAATGCAAGTAATGTGCATCTACCCTTGAATAAGACAGTGTCTTCTACTTTTAGTTCTCTGTAACACCCACGACAATGCTGTTTATACCAAGTACTCAGAAGTGTTTGTTGAATAAAACTGTTATCTTTAATCTGTTCTCCTAAGTACATATTTCCAATGTAGTAATTCAGCAAATTCTTGAGGAGGCTTACAATATGCAGGTGCTGAATAGACCCCGGCAAACAAATACTGTAGATATGATTCCTGCCTTCATGCACCTTTCCTCAACGGTGAATGGGTAGATAGTGACACTACTTGGGTTGGGATTAAATTTAGGAAAACTGACTTTTAAAAATTTAATTACAGTTAAACTTGAAAAAGTGGAGACTAATAATGTATTTAGAAATTATACTCCAACATCTTATAATGCAATATCTCATAGTCTCTTACAATAAATATAAATCCTATCTAATAATAGACAAACATGGTAATTAACCATACCTTCGCTACCCCTCCCATTGGCTAATCAGCATGATATGCAAATTAACCGCCAACCAAGATGGCGGCCAGCAGCCACGCAGCTGAAGCGAGCAGGAGGCTTGCTTGCTCCAGTGATGGAGGAAGCCAAGGTTCCCCACCTAACGTGGCCCGGCTCTGAGCTCCGAAAGCAACAAAGTTTCCATTATAGAAGCTAAACAAACCCCAGATACCTGCTTTCAGCTGGCGGTGGCCACGGAGCTGGAGCCGGCTCCTAGCTCCAGTGACGGCAACAAAGTTTCAATTATAGAAGGTAAATAAATCCCAGAATAAAAAAAAAAGAAAAAAAGGAGAGGCTGGGAGCTTCAGTTGCCGGCCAGCCTAAAAACAGCCCTCAGTCCCTCACCCAGACTGGCCAGGCACCCCAGTGGGGACCCCCACCCTGAAGGGGT